AGTTTATGGTCTCAAACACTGATGGGATTCCATTGAAAAGTGGTTGGTGGTTTCAAAGATGGTAAAAAACCACCAACCAGTATGGAAAATCACCAATTTTCATGGGCACATCCACTATTTCGACTGGGCCATGGCTTCCAGTTCGCTAACTGCAACAGTTTACCAGAGGGTATACCCTCTAATCAAACATAGCTATGGAACATCACCATCTTCAGGGGGGTGGCTCAACCACCAATTAGTGATATACCCTCCGCTCATCAAACATGGCAAGCCAACTAGTTTACCAGAGGGTATACCCTCCACCAACCAGAAAATGATGGTGATGGTCATGACCAAATTATGGAGCCCCACATGACCAAAATAAAGGCCCAAGCCGGCGCCGCGGCGGCGGCGGCGGGCCTGGCCTCGCTGACGACCGAAGGTAGCATGGGGAGATGACTCGCAACGATGGGTCAAGGTGTTGAAGCAACAAGAGGAATGGAAAACCATGATCATTGGATTGGTTTAAGGGAAAATCTTAACCGGAAACCACGGTTTTTACCATCAAATATAGGGTTTTCCGGTTAACATTTTCCCATCATCCAATTCTATGACATGAGAAAACCCATGGAAAAACATGGAAAATGCCATGACATCAGCGATTTCTAGATGATGTCTGGTGCGATTTCATGGGAATTGAACTAAGAAAAATCGTGGGATTTCCTGGGAAGATCATGGTGATTTTTTTGGGATTTTTTTGGGATTTATGGTGACTCTAATAGTGGTTTATCCAACAAATCAATAGGAATTTCACCAACAAAAATGATGCGGCGATCCCATGGGGAATTTCATGCGGTGATTCTGTTTGCGATACTGATGATATAGTTTTGTGGTCATCAAACGTGGCAGTTACGCATCAACTATGAAAGGAGTTTTTATTGGGAAGCATCAACATATATCAACATATATCCTGAATCACTGGGGATTTCTAGGGGGATTGGTTGCTGAAGATGAAAAACTTGGGAAGAGAGATATATATATATATCTATCTGGTTGGTGGTTTGGAACCATGGAATGTTGAATGACTTTCCAGAAACAGTTGGGAATGGAAAATTATCCCAACTGACGAAGTCATTTTTTAAAGAGGGGTAGGTTCATACCACCAACCAGAGTATAAATAAGGGAGTTTTCATTGCTATGATTGATTACCAGAGGGTACCGCGGGTCTAGTACTATTTGGGGATGGTATATTATTGGGTTAACTTGAGGGAACACCACGTTTTTGCAAAACAATACCTCTGCAATATTTACCCTCTGGTAAACTGTTACATAACTATGGAAAATCACCATTTTTCATGGGAAAATTCACTATAAATGGGCCATTTTCCATAGCCATGTTAGTTTACCAGGGGGTACATTTGGCTATAGCGTGGTTTGATAAACCAACTCCAGTTGAATTGGGAAAACGCCGGTTTGGACCCTAACAGAGTGATTTGGCAAAAAAACACAAGTTGGTTGTTGCTTAAACGTCCCAACTGGCAACCAAAAAAAAGTGAATGGTTTTGATTAATTGGGATCTTTGACCAGTAAGAAAGGATAGTATGATCACAAGATACCACAGCATTGGATTGAACCGGGTTTGAACCGAAAACACTGGGGGAGAATGGCATCAAGAATAGAGTATAGAGTAGACATTGCGGGGACAAGGGTAGGTAAATTGGCATTGAATTGGATAGTTTTGCAGCAATACGTGGATAGGGTACAACTCTTGGTGAACCTTGTTGTGATAGGTTAATCTTGGATGTAAGTATTCTTGCCACAACCGACCGTGTATAAATGATGGATTTCCGAGGGTTTAAAAAAAATATATATATATAGGTTGGTGGTTTCAAACATTTTTTATTTTCCATTTCATATATGGGATGTCATCCTTCCCATTGACGACCTCATATTTTTCAAGATGGTTAAAACAACCAACCAGATAGTGATCTATTGAATTCCTATGGATTAATATTGATTTACCAGCATTTACCCATGAAAAAAATGGCGTTTTCCATACCTATATGTATATATATATTATGTACATGTATATGTAATGTTTTGCTGGTACAAGGTGATGCCTGCCAGTTGTTCTGTGGCTTTTCACCCCCATTCTTAGTGTCTATTATATTATAGATATATTTGCCATAAAGCCTAGTTCAACTTGTCAACGATACCTAAAATAGATCATCATATATCCATATATCTAACCACTTGGCCAATATACTTGTCCAATATACTATAGTTATACTGTTATACTTACTATATATAATTATATATATATATACACAATCACATATCCATATAGCTATACATGACTGACTACTTGGACTACAGTACTTGGCCAGGTATATTTCTACAACTATAGCCTCCTTCGCCATGGCGAACCTTTCGGGGCACCTGGGGCACCCTTCGATCTCCTGCAGGCCCTTCGGGGGTGATTGCAGAGGTGCTCAGGGCGTCAGATGCGGCAGGACTGGATTTGGAGATGCAGACGCGGATGGATCCTTGGATTGAAGGGATCTGGGATGGATCTTTGGATATCTTCAGGATATACCCGGCCTGGTAAACATACAAAAACGATGGGAAATCACCATGCTATTAATGGGTAAATCCACGAACTGAATGGGTAAACTAACATAACTATGAGAAATCACGATTTTAATGGGTAAATCCACTATAATAAATGGTCATTTTCAATAGCAAACTGTTAAATTACCGGAGGGTATACGGTGTATATATATATACACATATAATTACATATGTGCAGCTTAGGGATATGTATAAATTATAATTTATAATATGTATTGTATCTTGGGTCATGTTGGGCTCATCTTTGTATCTCTTCGACGAAGCATGTGAATCAACATCGGATATGGGAGGGGCCTGGGGATATTTTTCTAATGGTTTAGAGCCTGCCAATTATACGTAGACATGTATGACATGTTAAATGTCATTTGGCTCATCTGGAATTCAGTTTTCCGGGATCTGGGATATTTTCAGGAGATATTTTAAGGACATGAAACTTAGGAAGATATTGGATCGCGGGTCATTTTGGCTCATCTTGGGCTATGCTGAGACAGACATCGCCCAACATTTGGTTTTCGGCCAAGCAACATTGATATTTCACCACTCAAAATGGGCCTAACCGCGACATATGATATGCTATGGGCTGTCTTCGTCGGGAAAATACGGGGTTGACAACTGGAGTTTGCAAGATTCCTCCCATCCAACTCTGGGTTTTGCTTCGATTCAGGAGGATTTTTTATGCAAAAACCCTCTGGTTATGTCAAAATAGCTATTGAAAATGGCCATTGAAATAGTGAGTTTTCCAATGAAACATGGTGATTTTCCATAGTTATGTTAGTTTACCGGAGGGTAAGTTTGTTTGAGTGAATCTTTGGAGATTTGTTGGGTGGATTATTTGGGGGAAAGTATCCCACTCTTTCTGGGATTGACTTTTGGTCCTTTGAAGCCCAACCACTGCTCCTTCAATTCTGCTTTTTTTGGCACCTGTTCCGAGAATGATCATGCCATACTTTTACTGCTAGATCCCAAGTGTTACTTCTAGTCACTAGTCCGACGGCTAGAGTACACCCCCAGAAATTCAGACTACCCTCTGGTAAACTAACATAACTATGGAAAATCACCATTTTCGATGGGAAAATCCACTATACATGGCCATTTTCAATAGCTATGTTTGACATAACCAGAGGGTAACCATTGGATGCACGCTTTGTTGGGTTCGATTTTTCACTTACTTGGGGGCGCAGTTGAGGTTACAAATGGGTATAGCTGTATAACCATGGTTATAAACCTTCGTAAGTTGGGATATCATCCCTATAGCCTATAGCTATAGTATACTGTATATACTATAGTTATATGTCCACAAAAAGTTCACTGGAACTGCATTTCCAAGTAGGCCATTTCAAGCTATAAACCTCCATTTATAGTGGATGTCCCTATCTTTTCCTATAGTTTTTCCGCGTTTTTTCATGGCCACCCCAGGCCGCGGTTGGCTGAGGCCGCGGTTCTGGAAACCCAAAGCTCACAGCAACAGGCTGCGCTGCTGATGCTGCTGAAGGCAGCAGTGTTCCCTGGCTTTTTTTATAGCCCAAGGGTGGGGAGGATCTTGATGGCTACGCTCTGGTAAACATACCAAACACTATGGAAATCAGCATTTTTAATAGGTAAATCAACTATTTCTATGGCCATTTTCACTAGCAAACTGTTAGTTTACCAGAGGGTTACCCCAGTTAGAAATAGGGTGAAATAACATGTTATAACCCTAGTTACCTCGTATGGAGGGGTGAATTTTCAGCCATTTACTAATTGGGATGAGCCACCAAAGCGGGGGAAAAAGATGGACTTCAAAAAAAACTGGTGAGTTGACAATATTCAACTATGGAGTTTTCATGTGAACTCTGGGAATATACAGATTCATGTCATATTCATGTGGAAGCAAACGGTGATACAGCAGACAGGATCACACCAGTGGATTCAATCCCTTAAAGATGAAGGTTTTTTGAATGGAACATCATTGGACTGAATGATGGAGAAATCTCCAGCAAGCCAAGTTTGATTAGCAAGAGAACACGGTTAAAATCAACTCTCCTGTTTGGAACATGAATTTTATTTTCTATTTCATATATGGGATAATCGTTCCCATTGACGAACTCATATTTTTCAAGATGGTAGGTATACCACCAACCAGATCAACTCTCTTATTGTTGAATGCAAATTCCAGGACTCCAAAATGGAGGTACTGAGGTGCTTTACCACATGAGACCATATATTATGGTGATGTTCCCTGAAATTTAGGCCACGTAGACATAGATTTTAATTTCCTGATCGCTAGTAATTCCAGGTACCCCAAGTATACAAGTATATTGTTTGGTCATCAAGCCGATCACCAATTCATAGATTGGTTCCGCCATTAAGCCTCCATTGATAAACGATTTGCCAGCTAGCCACGTTTAATTACCGGAGAGTATCTCCGACTAAAAGTCAGTCACTATATTAGCTCATCATGTTTGTTGGTAAAATCTCATCAAAAAACATATTCCCCATTTTTTGTGCCTTGGTTAACTATTATTATGTCGCATATGCACACGTGGGGCACGTACATACATCCATCCATCCCTACCTACATGCATGCATGCATAAGTACATTTATACAAATTATGTGCCAATTACAACCTCCATTTAGTTCCTGGATTTCCACATGATTGTCCAATGTGTTCCTACATGTTCCTACGATTTCCCATGATTTTCCTATGATCTATAGTGGCCAATACCAAAGGGTACCCTGAAGTGTCACCCGATTCAGTCCTTCACAATCACCGAAACCATGAAACTCAGAAAAAAACAGTGTGGGAAAATCCCTTGTAACAAATGGAGGTTTTATAGCTGGAAATTGCCTAAGTTCCAGTGAGCTAAGTCGATATATATATATATATATGTGTATGTATGTATATATATATATATGTATAGTTATATATATATAGCTATATAACTTATTAATCATGGAAGGACAATCCGCTATAAATGCAGGTTTTAAGGTATATGCATCTGAGTTGTCCCAAACCTCCATTCCGTTCCTGGATTTCCTGGTCGTTTCCCTAGGGATTTCCACCCTGAAGTGTCTTGGGACGCTCGAGGCTCAGCACCACCACGGACAGTGCCACCTACTCCAAGCCCACGTATCACAATGCCACGGGGGCGGCGAAGCTGGTGGGGGAAGAGGTGGCACAGGCGCGGTGGAAACGGAACCATGACATGGGAAGGAGATGGAAAAATCTCGTGGAAAATGAAGGGTTTGGTGGGGATTTATTTAATGGGATTATAGAGGGGGTTTTAATGGGATTTCATAGTGATTCAATGGGATTTCATGGGATTTCATATGGATTAAATGTTGTTCTAATAGGATTAGTTATAATATTCGCAATTGGATTTCCAGGAATGAGATTATAAGATATTCTAAAGGGGTTTAATGAGGTTCAATAGGAATTTGGTGGGATTGTAATGAAGTTACAATAGGATTATATAGGACTATAACGACATAAGTAATTCTGGCATTTATGGCATTTAATGGTTTTATAATGGGATTATAGAGGGGTTTTACTGGGATTTCATAGGTTTTTTTGGGGATTGCACTAGAAATTCGTATGGAATTTCATGGGGTTTGCTGGCCATCACCTGGGGCCAGCCTGGGACGGTTAGTAACTAGTCCCTTGCTTCCCCTGTCGCAGTATTCCTGAATCTTTTGCTAGAAAAAAAAAATGTTTGGTTGGTGGTGGTTTCAATCATGAATGGATTATTTTCCATTTCATATATGGGATGTCATCCTTCCCATTGACGAACTCCATCATTTTTCAAGATGGTGAAATTGCACCACCAACCAGATGTAATTTAGTAATCTACGTTCACCAGCTAAGATTTTTTTGTAGGGTATCTAAGTTTGGCAATGTAACATGGTTGAACGGTTCAACCATAACATGGGATAAGCCCAGGCCTTGGAAAGCATCCAGTCAGCGGCTGCGGCTGTGCCAGGGTCCTCCCAATCCAGCCCGTTCCAGCCCGTTCCAGCCCGTTCCACATGATGTTTTTTCCCATGTCCGAACCAAGATTCGTCATTTCTCCGACTCATGGTTAGTACAGCTGGTTAGTATAGCTGGGAAAAACATCATGGTTAACGAATGGTTAGTTAATCATGGTTAGTATTCAGGTTTCCGAATCATGGTTAGTTTCTAGCTGCTTGGTGGTGACTGGAACCATGGAATGGATTATGACTTTCCAGAAACAGTTGGGAATGTCATCATCCCAACTGACGAACTCATTTCAGAGGGGTTGGTATACCACCAACCAGCTAGTTTCCCTGTTTCTTCCAGTTTCCGAACGACGTTTTTTTAGTTTCTGAATCATCCCTTTCAGTTTCCGAATCACGTTTCACACGTTTCTGCATCCTGTTTTTTTCCAGTTTCCGAATTTCAAGTTTCCGAACCATAGTTTCCGACCGGCGCTCATCCTAGTTTCCGAATCATGTTCCTCCCAGTGTCCGAATCTTGTTTGCCCAGTTTCCTCAAATCATATCTAGCTTTCCAGTTTCCAAACCACAGTTTCCGAAGCAGCGCTCACACCAGTGTCCGAATCACGCTTTTCTAGTTTCTGAATCCGCGCGTGTCCATGATTTGGTATAGCCGTCGTAACAATGGTCCAATGGTGATATATCTCCACAAAAACTTCACTGGAACAGCAAACAAAAACATCATGTTCATTCTATTTATGACATGATATATATATAGTATATTTTCATATATATATATATATACATATACTATATATATATGTGTGTTATAAATAAATAAATGTATATATATATATACATACACATATGCATATACATTTTTAGTAGTATATCTCAACAACGATCATCTAATCCATACGTTGGTGGCTCCCACGAATCGTAGGCGGTGGCCAGCCTGGATGTGGATCCTCAGACGAAGCTTCAGGCGGAATCAGAAGAATTTCACCGCCTGGGTGAAGAGATGCAAATAGCAAGGATACTCCCAATCCAGCTGTACACTGTATGATTGTATATATATATATGTATATATGTACATATATTATATCATATGTATATATATATATTGACATATGTATTTACATCATATGTATATATATATATATAATTAAATTATATCTATATATTTCATGGGGAATTAGTATTAGAGACAAGGGTTTAAGTATCCAAAGTCCAACAAGTATGTGGGGAGTTCAGGATCAGAGTGCGCTTAAGAATAATTTGACATGAGGATCAATATGACTGGTGAGCTGGGGGAAACCAACTGGATGGATACTTTCGTACCACTTAATCTTGTGCCATAGATGGATATATATATATATATATATGGCACGGACCCGACAGGCATTCAAAGCAATAGCCAATTGTCTGATCTCTGCAATATGCGGGGGGTCATGACAGCGAGACTGTTACAGTCCGGCGATGTGAGTGCCATAGATGGTGTATATATATATACACACACATATATATATACATATACATACACACACACACATATATATATACATATATATATATACATAGAGATGGCGATCTCTTGGTTGCTTCTATCTTCCCATGTCCATCAGCAATCCTTCCTTTGATGGGATTGGTTGGCCAACTAGGATGGGGAGCCAGGATGGCGTATTCCGTATGAAGACCGGAGTCCATATCGGGCATGTGAAGCATTCTGAATGGAGATACCCTCTGGTAAACATACAAAAAGCTATTGAACATGGCCATTTATAGTGGATTTACCCATTAAAAATGTTGATTTTCCATGATTAAGTTAGTTTATCGGAGGTTATAGACATTTGAGTTCTAGCGGCTTCAGAAGGATGCAAATCCCATAGATGAACGCTAAGATTGGAAAATTTCACTGGTATGACCTGACTAATCAGTCATGTGGAGTAGGGTGGATGGTGCTATCAGCGACTTTGCCGCGACTACAATGATCACTAAGACTTTCAGCAATCCACCACATGAACCGTCACTCAACAGTTGGCATACCTCAAGGAATGACTGATCCTCTAGCGGCGCAAACAGGTTGAAATGCTGTGACCCTTCCTCTGGGTATGGGTCGAAATTGAGCGAAATTGTGCACTCCAAATTGAAACATGATCAACACGTTTGGTTTGTAAAGCCTGACATTTTGACCCATCCCCATTTATGAGAAACAGACCTACATATACTGGTACCTACATAAAATTGGCCTACGTGGACAAACCTATTGAATAAACACATAACTCAAGCAAATGAACACATTTATCAGTCAATCCCTGAAGAATCCAGAGAGATTTGTTATTTGATGAATTCGAACACTTCTGGAACTTTAGTTGTTTTCCGGAATCTTATATATATCTTATCCACAATTTGGTGTTTAGCCTATGTCAAATCAACATAAATCACCATAAAATCATCAAACCTTAAGATACCCTCTGGTAATTTGTTACAGTTCGCTATTGAAGCCATGGCCCAGTCGAAAGAGTGGATTTACCCAGCTGTAAAATGGTGGATCTTTCCATAGGATCAACCCTGAAAACCCACCCGCGCTAGGTGATCTCTGCCGCTGCCGCGGCAGCGCAAGAGGCGGAAGGGCACAGCTCCACCACGGTACCGTGGTGGAGCAAAATGTGGTGAGTTAAGGTTTAAAATTGATTAATATCAACCCTGGATTAATAAACCCCAAACGGCCGTTTAATTGGGGGGGTACCATTTAAGTATCACATTATGACTATTGGGGGAGTACCCCCCTAATTAATAAACAATGGTTTATTAATCCGGGGTTGACATTAAATAGGATAACGGGGAGTTGTAACTGATATGAGTTAATTAAATAGTCACTACTAGTTCAGTATAGGGAAATTATTGGTAGTTTGATTGGGTGATCATTCATGATCAATTATTAGGACTAGCTACAATTGCATAGCAGGTAGTAATTAGTACTTACAGGCCTATACGAGTGATTATAGGTAATGCTAACCAGTGATGAGGTGACAAGTGGTAACCATTTTTATCCGGTCAACCCCGCATTTGTCGCAGAGGTAAATAAATACAGTATACAGTACTTAATTGTTTAAGTTCAAGTGATGCTGATGTTTCGTGATGCACTACTACTACCACTGATGTACAATCTAAATATGTTGACTTAAATAGTTATCAAATCATTATTAGTTACTATGAACCCATAATGACAAAATTGAAACAATAATTATATGGGTAATTTGGGGATGATCATGGAAAAAAATAGGGGAATTGTGGGACAAAACTGGGATTGTCCATTCATAGGGAATGGGCTAGGGGATGCTCATGCCATAGATACCCTATATCTTATATTCCTCGATAAAATCAATGGGAGATCTCCAGGATCCTAAAATGGAGGTACTGTACCATATATAAGGCCATATTTTGTGGGGATATTCCCTTACATAGGCCTTATTAACTTATATATACATATATATATATATGGTAGGTACCTCCAATTTAGGTTCCTGAAATGGCCATTGATAAAAAATAATGCCTTTTTGAAGGGGATGAACAAACTGCCAAGGGGGGTTACTAAGCTCGCCTATCAGGGTGCGGGGTTGCCACAAAATCTGAACCCCCAAATTTCCAAGGTTTATCAAAGTTCCAGATGTCCTTCATGCATGGCTGGATGCAAGCCATACACTTACCGTCCTGTAAATCAGCATAGACCCTGCCAGATTGGGGTTGGTCAGAAGAGTTTCCAATACAAATAGGCTATTTTCGGGGTTTATGTTGATTGAGCAGAGGGTAGACTCTTGGATTTTGAACCTTTTGGGATTCGATGAGATTACCCGTCCCACGACTCAAAGTTAAACCGACTTGGCAGGGGAACAACAAGCCATCAAGGCATATCACAGTTATATCACATTTCAGCCACATTCATATCATATTAAATATTGGTTTCTATGGTCTAAATCCCCATGTTTGTCCTATAAGTTTTCGCCATTAACTTCCATTAAATCCGTATTTGCCCATATCTAAATGGTATTTTGCCATATGGCAATTAAATCCCATTCAATCCCATGTTTTCCTATAATGTTTCGCCATCGAGCCGGCCATGAATTGGCGAAACGCCGCACTGAGACCAGTTTCGACGGTGTGAAGTTGGTGGTGGATGCTGCGCAAGACGCCGGTATCAAGGCACAGCTAGAGCTAGCTACCTGAGCCACTAAAAGTTATACCCTGGTTGATTGGTTAACATAGGTCAATATATATATATATATATATATATATATTTATATATATAGATATAGAGATATATATACACAACTATACATATATATATATATTAGAGGGTAGTAGAGGTTATAGGATAATATGGGTTGATCTGGTTGATAGATTAATATGATAAGTTATACTCACCAGTTGTAGGGAAACCTGTCAACCAACTAGTATAATGAGATGGGAAAACTGCGAATTTTTAATCGCTCACCTGGGTTAACCTTGTGTAATCTACTACCTGGTAATTTCACATAGCCATGGAAAATACATAAGATTTTAGAAACAAACATGGCAACATTATAATATATATATACTTTGGGTATACTAGTGATTAAACCACTAAACAAGGGATGTAATGGAATGTAAGTGACCAACTATATCCAATTTAGGCGTGTCTGACAATGGGGTACGCACCCCAAATGACAATGAAACAAGAGGGAACATGAGATGGTCAACGAGTGAATGGAAACGGGCGCCTTATTTTCAAACAAATTCATTTAATATATAGCAATGGAAATTACATAAGAATACCAATTTCAAGATGATTTACTTCTTGAACATGTTCGGAATGATTTTGAATGCCTATTCTGCCTCATAGCAACCCCCAATTTATCCAAAATTATCCCAGTCAAATAGTGGTTGAAACACCGTGTTCAGAACTTGGCTGGGCGCCAACTCCGTGGCAATGCAACATCACCCATTTAATTCGAGAATTTTCCCATCTATAAACCTCCATAAAGAGGGGGTTTCCACTGCCACGTTTGATTACCAGATGGACATTTATGTAGTAAATCTTTTGCAATTCTGGTGCAAGTGATAAATCGGGCAAGGTATCTAAAAGAAAACACAGAATCCAACCGATTACTAGGTAATGAATGGTAATGACAGATGGCAATTTTGGGGGTGACCTTGTTTTGGGGACAAATCTATTTGGACAAACCTTGGGAATGGCGACACTTTTTTAAGGGTGGAAAGATGTGGAACTGAGCGTGGGCAGAGTGTGGGTTTAGGGTGTCCAAGATTAGGAAACCCAGATGTTGCCAAATTAGCTAAGTAACTTATAGTCAGAATTGGAACCCAAGACATCCCAGTTATAGAGGCTGGTTGAATCGACTTCCTAACCACGACTGCTTGATTTTCCAGAGGGGAACCGCCTGCATGGCGAGGACATTGGGAAACTGAGAAAGGTGCAAGAAGAAGCACGCGTCATGACGCCAGATCAGCAGAAGGCCAGGGCAACTGGGTTGCTGGAGGGTCCCAAGCGCGATTTTGGTGGTGACTGGTGACTCAACATGGGATTTTTGGGGATAAATAATGATGTATGTATATATTAAATATACATCTATATATTATATATGTATATTTATGTATTGTATTTATATATATATATATGATTATATCTATTACACACATATATATATATTATAAGCGTATGTTTTGAATTTCATGAATTTTTTGCTGGTGACTTCACCCATATTATAAACATGGATTTCATGGGATAGATCTTCGGATTTAGGGTACCCAATTTTCAGATTGGGACGTCACAGCAACATCACAAGATCCCGCAGCCAGGATCCATGGCCATGGCTGACTGGGATCCCGGAGAATCCACCGGTTGCCGGTTCACCGCTGGGTATTTCAATGATCACGAGAAACTCCAATAACTATGGTTTATAGATGTTTATAGGTTATATATTTATAGTATCTATAGTTTTAATGGGGTTTATAAACCAACTAACATCAATGGGAATTTCAGGATCCTAAAATGGAGGTACGCTAGTACCATAGAAGACCATATTTTGAGGGGATATTCTCTGAAATTTAGGCCTGAAAAATAGGCCTTATATATAGTAGGTACCTCCAATTTAGGTTCCTGAAATGGCCACTGAATGAATAGGTGTAAAATGATGTACGTAGCTTAATGTCAACCCGGCTTGTGCGCAGTCCCACTAACGTTTTTTGTTATGTAAGCATAGTTGTAGGGGTTAAATATTAATATCCCAACCTATGGAGGTTATTTCCTTGGTGATGCCGGTTCATAAACCCAACTGCACCCCAAGTCCACCACGGTTGATCTATGACCGGGGCTTCCACCCCATATGCACAATAGCCTTTTTTAGTTGCCGGCCATCCCGGCCACGGCCCGGCCACCCGGCCACCCGGCCCCCGGCACACCCGGCACCACCCCCACGGCCACCCGGCCACCGGGGCCACCCGGCCACCCGGCCACCACCACACGGCCACACGGCCACACGGCCACCACGGCCACCACGGCCACACGGCCACACGGCCACACGGCCACACGGCCACACGCTGGCCACACGGCCACAATTTATTTCGACAGCCTTTCCCCACATGCCCGAATTCAAATGGCTGTATTGATCCAGCCAAGACAAACATAGCAGAACACATCATGCCGTTGCTTGGTGCAGTTGAAGCAGCTCTTGCTATGGAGGCGAGTTGACTCAACTACGTGATTGTGTATATGTGCTGATCGCAACATATCACGTAAGCATCTGACGTAGATAAAATAAGTAGATAAATGGATAGGTAAGATAGATACGATAGATTAGATAGGTAGATAGATAGATAGGTAGAAAGATAGAAAGATAGATAGATAGAGAGAACAGATAAGATAGATAAGACAGACAAGACAGACAAGATAGATAAGATAGAAAAGATAGATAAGATATATAAGATAGATAAGACAGATAAGATAGATAAGATAGGTAAGATAGGTAAGATAGGTAAGATAGTAAGATAGATAGATAGATTTTATAGATAGATAGATAGATAGATGGATAGATAGATAGGTAGATAGATAGATAGATAGACAGACATATAGATAGATAGATAGCTAGGTAGATAGCTAGATAGATAGATAGATAGCTAGCTAGATAGCTAGATAGCTAGATAGCTAGATAGATAGATAGATAGATAGATATATAGATAGATAGATAAGATAGATAAGATAGATAAGATAGACAAGATAGATAAGATAGATAAGATAGATAAGATACATAAGATAGATATGATAGATAGGTAGGTAGATAGATATGATAGATAGATATGATAGATAGGTAGGTAGATAGATAGATAGATAGATAGATAGATAGATAGATAGATAAGATAGATAAGATAGATAAGATAGATAAGATAGATAAGATAGATAAGATAGATAAAATAGACAAGATAGATAAGATAGATAAGATAGATACGATAGATACGATAGATACGATAGATACGATAGATAAGATGCAGCAGATAGATAAGATAGATTAGATAGGTAGATAGAGATAGATAGGTAGAACGATAGAAAGATAGATAGACAGAGAGGACAGAAAAGATAGATAAGACAGACAAGATAGATAAGATAAAAAAGATAGATAAGATATATAAGATAGATAAGATAGATAAGATAGATAAGATAGGTAAGATAGGTAAGATCGATAAGATCGATAAGATCGATGAGATAGATAAGATAGATAGATAGATAGATGGATGGATGGATGGATGGATAGATAGATAGATAGAATAGAATAGATCAGATTAGATTAGATTAGATCAGATTAGATAGATGGATAGATGGATAGATGGATAGATGGATAGATAGATGGATAGATAGATTGATAGATTGACGGATAACTAGATAGAAGATAGATGTTTGGATCGATGGACGGATAGATAGATAGATGCGTAGACAGGTAGGTAGATAGGGAGAATGGTAGATAGGTAGATAGGTAGATAGATGGATAGATAGATAGATAGATAGATAGATAGATAGATAGGATGATAGACGGATAGATGGATAGGTGGATAGATGGATAGGTGGATAAGTGGGTAGATGGATAGGTGGATAGGTGGAAAGATGGATGGATGGATGGATGGATGGTTGGATAGATAGATAGATAGATAGACAGATAGATAGATAGATAGATAGGATAGGTGGGTAGGCGGATAGGCGGATAGATGGATAGGTGGATAGATAGGTGCGATAGATTAGATAGAGAAGATAGATTGAAAAGATTAGAAAGATTATGTAGACTAGATTGACCGGATGGAATAGATAGATTTGATCGGGTAGATAGATGAGATCGATTTGATAGAGTAGATAGGTTAGATGAGGTAGATTAGATGGACTAGGCGGGTTTGATGGATATAGAGTAGAACAAAATAGAGCAGCATAGAACAGACTAGAATAGAATACGGCTGGATGCATAAGAATGAAATAGGCATAGAAAAAGAGGTAGAAATAGAATCATTTGACGAATAGAGAAGAAAGATGTCTAGATCGATAAATCAGCTAGACTAGCCCGATTAGCTTGATTAGGTACGCTAGATAGATTAGGTCGATTATATAGAGTATAGGGTGGCTGGATAGATTAGATAGATTAGGTGGAGTAGGTGGGTTAGAAAGATTAGATCGATTAGGCAGGTTAGCTACATGAGGTAGGATTGGTAGTTAGATTGATCAACAGATTAGGATGATTAATCAGATTAGATAGGTGGAAAGCAAGATAGGTAGATAGATTGGTAGACCTGATTGATCGATTGATTGTCAAGTTGGGTTTAGAAAGATCAGCCTAGAAAGATGGACAGATCGATCGATCTATGGATCAATCGATGGATAGATAGATAGCTAGATAGATAGACAGATGGATGGATGGATTGATTATAGATAGATTAGATAGGTTAGATAGATTAGATGGATTAGGTAAAGTAGATCGGTTTGGTAGATTAGATAGATTAGATAGATTGGGTAGAGTAGATTGGCTAGATGGATGGGGTAGAGTAGGTAGATTAGACAAAGTAGATGGGTTAGATCTATTGGATAGACTAGATTGATGTAAAAGGATGGAGAGGTTAGATAGATTAGATAGATTAGATTCAGGGTTTTACTGATTAGATCGATTAGAGCCTAGCGTAAATGGGATAGCCGTAGGCAAATTAGATTAGATTTGGTTAGATTAGATTAGATTGGTTTAGACTAGTTCAGATTAGATTAGAGTGAAGTAGAGTAGAGTAGATTAGATGGTTAGCAAGATAAATAGATTGGAACGAATAGAGCAAATAGAAAGAATGGACAACTAGATAGATAAATCACAGACTTGCTGATACACTACTTAAGTATGTGCACGCAGACTTGCTGCTACGCTACTGGCTCGTCTGTTGCATGTGCATCTGCTACGCTACGTGCTCTTCTTTTGCTGCGCAGGCTTGCTGCTTTGCTACTGGCCTGCGCGTATAACTAGCACTGATGTGTATGGCTAAATTCCCAGAAATGTACCTTCCTCCCAACCATTCATTGCAAGGCCAAAGGCCACCTGACCACCGCTTTCCGGACCCTTCCCCCCTGTGCCCGCCCATCCTGCCTTCCTTCCCCCCCTTCCGCCGCCCTCTTCCCACCTTCTCTTCCCTCCCACCCTCCCTTTAACCAACCCTCCACCACACCTTCCAGCTACCCCTCCAACTAACCCGGCCACCCGGCCAACCACCCACAACCACCCGGCCAACCACCCAGCCGGCCACGGGGCCAACCACCCAGCCGGCCACGGGGCCAACCACCCAGCCGGCCACGGGGCCAACCACCCACGGCCACGGGGCCAACCACCCACGGCCACGGCCACGGCCACGGCCACGGCCACGGCCACGGCCACGGCCACGCACGGAAAAAAGCAATCCTCCCCCATATGAAATCCTACTGGGATGCTATTCATGACTTGCACCATGCAAGTCACATGATTTGCCGTTGATCGTGTGTCTCCCAAGGGCGAATCACATTTTCTGCTGGGAAAGCGATATGATAATGATATGATCATTTGAGTAGGTGAGTGGACCACTTCTTTGGCCAAAAACAAGACGGAATTCCCGGGATGTAAGTAATCATGTAATTACATGCTCCTCACCTCACAAAGAAGTGTTCCGTTGTTTTCTGCCGTATAATGAGGATGGGCCATGTTGTCTGTATCATTGTAATCCTATGAACATACCCATTAACATCCCATTATCATGTATCATAATTCCAGTAGAATCTACAATTATCCATTATAATCCCATTGAACCCCTATTAAGTCCCGTTAACCCCCACTATAATCCCATTTTATAATCCCATTCAATTCCATTTTCCACGCCACGGTCGGCATGAAGGAAGCTAGCTCCCGCCTATGGCGCGTGGTGGAGCCGAATCCTTGCCACGTTGTGGTTTCTGTCCTTGTGGCGTCCTCTGGCCTTGCCAACTTCTATTCCTTGCAGGATGGGGCCCCCAAGATAGCTAAGTTGGTTTATAAATGGCTTAACTATGGTTTATGGTAGATATAACTATAGATAACTATGGTTAATGGGGTTTATAAACCAACTTATAACTGGGGGGGGCCCATCCTGTGAGGACTAGAATGATTCAGATGTTCATGTGATTGCCGACATCCTGACAGCTACCATGGCACACACCCTTGCTGTGAGCTGCTCCTTCTCTTCTTTTAGCTTCCTCTCCGTGCTTTGTTTGCGCCTGCCTCCGCCTCTAAGACCCTTGCCCGTTGCTGGTGCGTTGCACAGCTGACCCAAGGAATGTCAGACACTGGAGAGATGCTCTTTGTCGATTTTGTCGGTTCTCAGATGGCTGGAGATCATGATTCTCAAGAATATCATGAATATCATTCATAGCTGGCAGCATGCACAAAAAGGATGTACAGTACCTGTTTGGTGGCTGGTCATTGGCCCATTTTCCACATCGTTGCTCCATTATAAGATATTATAAGTTCGTTACTATCCCATTAAAAAAACTAGAAACCATATATAATTATGTTGATGCATTGCACTTCACCTCATGTACACTAAGGGCAGACATCCGCAGGCACATTCATGGCCGAAGGTGGAAAAGAAGTCCGCGGCAGGGGCCGCGTGTTGCGAGGGTGCTACCGACATTGGTAGCGGAGCCAGGGAAAGCCCTGGCTCCCAGTGGCCCTTTCTAGGTAGATTGGCGCCATGACGGAGCTCGGAGCCTCACTGAAGTATTTCTCAGGAGGCGATGAGGTGGACCATCGCGAGTATCGACGATGGAAGCAGTGGGTCATCAATAAGATGAACGTGATGGACAAGCTTCCGAAGGAAGCTCGTGGCAGCTTCGTGTGGACGTTGCTGCAGGGACGTGCGCTCGAGATTGTCGAGCACTTGGCCGATACCGACTATCAGAAGGAGGACGGTGATCAGGTCATCTTCAAGCTTTTGGATGAGAGATGGCCGCAGAAAGAACGAAGTGACGAGATGGGTGAACACATCTCCGAGATCTTCGCCTTGAAGGCGAAGGAAGGCGAGACCATTCGTCAATGGTGTGGTCGCGCCAGGGAAGCCTTTGACAGGTGCCGGAGAAAGACTGGTGTGTCCTTTCCCCCAGAGGCACAGGGGTGGATTTTACTTCAATGCAGTGGCATGACGGAAGAACAGCGTGCAGTTGTGCTGGCCCGCACCCAGGGCGATTTGAAGTTTGATACTATGTCCACTTCCATGAGGTCATGCTTCCCTGACTATGTGACCGCCAAGCGTCGCACGATCGGCGCCCATGTGGTTGAACCAAGAGCTGCCATGGACGAACCGGCTGAGATTTTCCAGCCTGAACCAGAGATAGAGTTCGAGGATGTTGAACTGTTTCTCGCCGAACATGGCGGTCTGGAAACCTCTGCAGAACTGGAGGACACCTATGAGGAGCACGAGATAGCCGACATCCTAGCTGTGAGCTGGAAGGAGAAGAGACAGGAGCTGAACAAACTGAAGCAGTCTCGCCAGTTCCACAAGGAGGCTGATCTGAAAAAGACCTATCGAATAGAAGTAGAAGAACTCAAAAAGCGTACCAAATGCCATCGCTGCAAGAAGGTGGGCCATTGGGCCCGTGAGTGCAGAACCAAACCTGCCAACTCCAAAGCATCTTCAAGTAGCACCCATGCTGCCGGCTGCGTTCAGGTGCCGGCCACAGAGCACTTTGTGTGTGCAGCGGGCTGGATGTCAAAGGGTATGACTTTGTTGGAACGAGTTCGAGCAAAGCTGAGGTCTTCTGATGAGAAGGTCAAAGATGAGACCACCCCTTTTCAGATCTCCCTGGTGTCATCCCCAGGATATGCAGTTCTGGACTCTGGATGCGGAAAGACCATCATAGGAGCTGCGACTTTAGAGTCCTTCAGGAAGATCTGGAATATAGCAGGTATCAATCAGCCTGAACCCTATGCTGAGGAGAACGTGTTCCGGTTTGGTAATGGATCCAGTGAAGTGTCCAAGACTGCAATCGAATTGCCAGTGTGTCTTGCCGAGCGGCAAGGCGTGATCAGAGCTGCAATTGTCAAAGGAGACGCTCCCTTGTTGTTGTCTCGCCCTGCAATGAAGACACTGGCTGCTGAGATGGATTTTGCAAAGGATGAGCTGCGCCTTTTTGGAGGCAACACTGCTGTGTCCATGCAAGTGAACACCGCTGGTCAATACATGATTCCAGTGACGGAATTTCCAGTACAGCAGCCGCTGCCCAAGATCGTGAAAGAGCCTGCCACCACAGTGTTGGCGATCGAAAGCGATGACCCTGAGCCTGCATCCGAACAGCCCTCGCCTGAGGGTGAATGCACCACTGCATCCGTGACATCCGATGCCGTTCCAGTGCCCAGGGAAGGGGTTGTAATGAGCCATAATGGGGATGTAACCATAGTGGGTAAGAGGGGTAAGACTAAAGATTATTGGGTAGTTAAGCCAGCTGCTCGGGAAGTGATTCGTGTGCATCAAGCCCCGTGCAGAGAGGTTCACTCCATGTCATGCCCATTGTCCTGTCTTGCCTGAAGAATTGTCCTCCGATAGGATCACTAGGTGGAATATCGTAGGTCGTTCTGAACCCGCATGTGAACTTCAAGACCAATGGACTGATCCCGCTCACGCCCATGACCATTTACCACTGCCTGACGGTAGCTACTGGGTAGGTGAAACTGTTTTCCAATTGGCAACCGATGCCGCCATGCCTGCAGGTACCGACCGTGAGACCTTGATGACCCAGTGGACTCCCAAGCAGTCCCGTCAACTTGCACAACAGGTCGGGAAGTTGGAACAGTCTAGGAAGCCCAAGAAACCTTTTGATGTTATCGAAGTGTTTTCACCACCTAGGTTTGCTCAACAGACGGCTACTAGAGGTCAAACATGTTTGTCAGCGGATTTGGTCACTGGATGGGATTTCAGAAAACCATCACACCGGGAGAACATGAAGAAGCTGATCAAAGAAACCCCACCAGAATTGTTGGTTTTATGTCCACCATGCACCTGGGCGGGAGGATGGTTTAACCTGAATCAACTATATATGAGTCCAGAAGAGGTTGCCGAAAAGCAAAGGCTCACCATGCTGTTCATCAATTTCTGTTGTGAACTGATTGAACTCCAGTTGGCATCCGGTAACAGGGTTTTGTTTGAGCATCCAAAGGGGTCTGTCGCATGGAAAATGCCCAGGATTCAGAAGCTTCTCCAACGCATGCATGAAGTAGAATGTGACATGTGTAGGTTCCAGCTGCGTATCCCCAAGGGTCGCTTTATCCAAAAATCCACGAAGCTGTTGGTGTCTCATGCAAACATGAAGAGTCTCAATAGGAAATGCCCTGGTCACCAACACCCTGCCCACCGAGAACATCATGTAGTTGCCGGGTCCCATCCACAGGTTGGCAGTGTGAGTAGATTTGCTGGACAATACACCCAGTCTTTTGTCCGAGCAGTGATGAATTGCTGCCCAAATCTCCGAATTAGTCCTGTGCTGTCTGTGGCTTGTGATAAGCCAGCTGAATGCCTGGTAGCAGCCCGTGTCCGTGAACTCAATGAAGCTGATACAACAAAGGTCAAAAGCAGTCTCCAGAAGTTGCATGAAAACCTAGGACACCCAGGAAACCAACATTTGGTTCGACTGTTGAAACATGGTGGTGCCAGCCAGGCTGCTCAAGATCTAGCCAAAACACATGCATGCCCACAGTGCTCAGCCCGAGCGAAGCCTCGACCAGCGTTGCCAGCTCAACCAGAGCGAGTGACAACGTTCAACAAGCGCGTTGGTATTGACATCAAGTATGTTACTGGTTGGAAGGTGAATCAGAAGATTCCTGCTGTTAACATCATCGACTATGCCAGTAGTTTTCAAGTAGTCGTACCATTGTTTGAACGCGTCACCGCAACAGCCATACGCCGCACCATCCAAGAGAGATGGACCCACTGGGCTGGCCAGCCCGATGAAATCCTATGCGATCCTGCCAGGACCAATCTAGCTGACGCCCTGACCACTCCAAATGAGCTGGCCGGATCAGTGATCCACGTGACAGCTGCTGATGCACATTACCAACTGGGTAAAGTGGAGGTTCATGGAGGTTGGTTCAACCAGATCTTAGAGAAGATAATCTATGATTGTTCCCCTGCTGACCAAGACACATGGACCGAATGCATGCACGCAGCCCATTGCAAGAACGAACTGATTCAGGTGTATGGAATGACTCCAGCACAGTTCATTTTTGGACGTAATCCCAAGATTCCTGAGAACTTGATGGATGAGCCATGTGAGGTCATTCCAGCAACTGCATCCTTGTACGAGGCTGAGATAGCCAAGAGGGTTGCAATTCGTCAAGCTGCCCGTCAAGCCGTTGTGACACTGCAGGATAGCAAAGCCTTGCGTTTAGCTCTCTCTGCTCGTCCACGACACCAGGTGGAGCCTGTACCAGGTGATATGGTAGCTTACTGGAGATCTCAAAAATGGGATAGTGGCAGCCTAGATAACCATGGCCGCTGGCATGGGCCAGCAATTGTGTTGGGAAAGGTAGGCCGCAACCTGGTGATCGTGCACAAGCGACAAGTGCTGCGATGTGCGCCCGAGCAAATCCGGGCTTCAACAACAGAAGAACGGCAGTTGGTGCGCGCTCCACATGCAGAGTTACTAGGATTGAAGCATGCCTTTGAAACTGGTCAGATTGCGAGTCGTCAGTATGTTGACCTAGTGTCTGGTGATTACCCTACTGTGGCTGCAGAACCTGCTGAGCAGTCCAAGATGTTGCCTGATGAGCCAGAGTCTGCACCGCCGTCCGTTGCCAGTGATCACCCGAGAGCAATCGAGCCTCTCAGTCCTGCCCCGGCTGAAGAAGGGGTACCGCCGGCTCCGGTAGTTGACTCTGTGTTTGATGATGAGGTAGTTGCAGACTCTTCCAATGTTGTCGACAAAAGTCCAGCCGAAAGCTCAACATATGGTCCTGTCCGTAGGCGTGTCACCGGTAAGAATGGTCCACAAGCCTTTTTCCGTCCCAGTCCAATGAGACCTGATGACTTTTCTGAGATGATGGAAGAGATCATGCCTCGTCTGATGGAGCAAGTTATCCAAGATAGCGCAAGTGCTGACAGTAGCATGCAGTCCTCTTCACCCCGAGGGTCCAGTGCCAAGAGAGCACATAGCCCAGACCAGAGTGAAACTCAAGGTCCGGCACAGGTTCCAAGAACCGATGCTGCGAGTGCTGCCGCTGAGTCGAGTAGGCCTGCTTCCGAAGTGTTGTCCTGTTCCAAGCATGTTTCACAGTCATCACGTGCCGACCAAGAAGAGCTTGTAAACATGTTTCATAAGGGCGCCCCTGTTGAAGTCATGTTAGCTTCTTACATGCAGAAGAAGAGTTCAAAAGAAATTCCTCATGTCAATCAGGAGCCCGAACAACAGCGAAAGATCGATGAAGCCAAACTGGCTGAGTGGCACGTCATAGAAGGGAAACATGCGGGTCGGTTGGTTTTAGGAGAAGAAGCGCAACAGGTGCGCCAGAAACTGGCCCATCGAATCATGGACAGCAGATATGTGGTAACTCTGAAGCAGGAAGAGGACGCACCAGTCCGAGTGAAGGCACGGTGGTGTTTGCTAGGTCATCGTGACCCTGACCTATCTACCAAAGCACTTGAAGGAGCATTGCAGAGTCCCACCATTTCACAAGTGAGTAGGAGCATGCTTTTTCAAACCATTGCCTCAAACAAATGGACATTGTCATTGGGTGACATTAAGGGAGCCTTCCTAGCTGCAGGTCCATTAGCCGAACGTTTCAGGCCGCTGTATGCCCGTTTGCCGCCAGGCGGCATTCCAGGTGTCCCTGGTGACGCACTCATTGAAGTGACTGGCCATGTGTATGGCTTGAATGATAGCCCGTCAGCTTGGCAACAAAAGTTACACAAAGTGTTGTTATCTGTGGGTTTTCAAGTGAGTCGCTTTGATGCTTGCCTCTACCATCTGCGTGACAAGAAGGGTTGCCTTGTTGGCATTTATGGTGTTCATGTGGATGACTGTGCAACAGGTGGACATGGCCCAGTGTTTGCAAAAGCTATGGATGAATTGAAAAGACAATTTGAGTTCCGTAAATGGCGTACTCTTGATGGTGATTTCTGTGGAGCTAGGTACACACAAGATCCTCAAACATTTGCCATCACCATGAGCCAGTCTAAGTATGCACAGACTCTTCGTCCACTGCACTTGAGTCGCAGCCGGTGCGCCGATCGCACTGCGCCGTTGGATGAAAAGGAAGTGAGCTGTCTGAGAGCCATCAATGGAAGTTTGAATTGGATTTCATCACAGTCTAGGCCTGACCTTTCCACACAAGTGTCCTTTTCCCAACAATCATTTCCTGTGCCCACCATTGGTGATGCCCTAGCTGCAAACAATGCTATCCGGCGTGCAAAAAACAACATGCCGAATTGAGCGTTGTATATAGACCGATTCCTCTGCAAGACATGGCAATTGTGTGCCATTCCGATGCAGCTTATGCCAATGCCAAGGGAGGTGCAACACAGGCAGGATATGTTTTGGGTTTTACACACAAAGACTTGGAACATGGTAAGACATGTGCATGGACCCCAGCATATTGGAAAAGCCATAGGCTGCCAAGGGTTGTTAATTCCACCCTAAGTGCCGAAGCCCAATCCATGTCTGGTGCCTCAAGCATGTGTGAATGGTTGTCCCTGTTGCTAGCTGAAATTCGCGATGGGCAGTGTTGTGCGCAGTCCATGTGGGATGTTCCCCAAAGGCCACCATGCATTCTTATCACCGATTGTAAATCGTTGTTTGATCACCTGAAGTCCCCGTCAGCACCATCCCTGGACGACCGCCGTACGTCCATTGACATAGTGATCATCCGAGAGAGTGCGAAGCGTATGTCGGCATCCATCAGATGGATTCCAACAGACCGAATGCTGGCCGATGGCATGACCAAAGAATCAGCTGATGCCTTGGATTTACTTAGAGCATGTATGAAGTCAGGTAAGTATCAAGTAAGCCCGGAAAAGGATGTTCTTGAATGGAGAGCCACTGAAAGAAATCGTCGCAAAGACATCGCCCGCCGTCGTTCCGAGTTCAGTGCCTTTTTGGTTTCTCAAGTTCCATAAGATGTGGAGACTTTAACAATGGGGTAATTGGGGAATAATAATGATAAGTAAGATGGCCTAGGGAGCTTTTGGGATAAACCTGTCCAGTTACATGTAACCTTGTGCAATATGTGTCAGTCCGACACAGCCCTTCTCTCAAGCCGTGAGCTGCATCTTGTTTGTCGTGACAACGAGTCACCATGTCCAATCCTTCACCGGCGCCGTTCAGTCTTGCCACATGGACCGATGCTGATCAGAGAGAATGTGTTCGTTTGATGCAGAAAGCCCATGGCTGTGGTGTGCTGAAAGCTATGGTGTCGTTGGTGACGGATCAGGATCATGACTGGTCTGTCGTCTCCGGACAGTCCAGTGAAGGAGCGATGAATGATGCCTCGAAGCGTTTGCGTGAGACCTCCGCAGACAAGCCTATGAAGACCTATGCGGCGTCATCGGAGCTTGGCACTATGGCCGTTCCCATGCCCAGTGCTGGCTATGGAGTGAAAGTTCCAAAGTTGCCCCCAGGAGTTGATTCTGTGGAGGCTTGGGGTCGCACCAAGATCACCTTTGGAAAGTTCAAAGACAAACGTACGTACTCTGGCCTTCATGTCTCTCAGAGTGCCGAAGATCGCAGCTACAAGTCCTGGTTGGCTCCTCGCCACGAGAAGGGATCCCCTCAACTGCAAGATTTGGTGAACTATTTGGTGGCTATGGGTGATCCTTCGGTGATCGATCATGTTCACGACAACCAAGTCGTGACAATTCCTGGCACCGACATTCCTCGTCGGTTGGGTTGAGAAAGAAAGGACGCTTGAAGATTTACACCAGTGTTGATGCATTGCACTTCACCTCATGTACACTAAGGGCAGACATCCGCAGGCACATTCATGGCCGAAGGTGGAAAAGAAGTCCGCGGCAGAGGCCGCGTGTTGCGAGGGTGCTACCGACAATTATATTAAATTCCCATTTAAATCCCATCAAAAACCAACTGTAATCCCATTAAATCCAACTCTTTTACACCTCATCGTTTGCCCGAACCCTTCGAAGCCGCAGGCCGCCGCACGATCGCTGGAGGCAGCAGGGGCTGGCCGCCCTTTCGCCGATGTGACTACGAGACATGGCGCTGATGTGGGTTTGACCGGCGAAAAATCTCGGTTAACCGACTGGATCGGTACAAACTAATCCTTTAGTCTCTTGGTATCAATGGGATTATCTACGTTCACCAGCTAAGAATTTGATTTTTTGTAGGGCATCCAAGATTGGCAATGAATTGGGAGTTTGACGGTTTTGACCTACGAAGAATACTGCATCTAATGACCTGGAAAAAACATCCGATAAATGAAGATACTGTCAACCCAAGATGTGCTTCCTAAGTTTTTTTTCTAACAAATGTGGTTTATAAATCCGAATGACTATAGAGATATGATATACAGTACCCACCATGAACCCAACTTATAATACTATCGTTGTGAATGATGAATCAACTGAACTAACATTACTCGGGGCACCATCTTGTGTGATGCTAATCGTTGCCCACCACCTCGTTGCCCAGAATTGGATGAAAACATCTGCTGCAAGAACCCCCTATAATTTTTTCTTGGGAGTTAAAACTAGTATTTCAACCGTAGATTTTCCCAAGAAAAACCCAATGGACTCCCCTTACTTTGTGGTCTCTTTAACTTTTGAGGAGCTCCTCACGCCCTGAAGCTGGATCATCTCACTTAATCGCTGGTTAGTCGGGGGTGCATCGCGGTTAGTGGATCAAAACCATCATATATATATATCATATATATAATATATATGTATATATCATATATATAATATTAATACATATATATATCATATATATATATATATAATACATATATATATATATATCATATATATAATATATATATATCTCATATATATAATATTAATTTATATATATATATATCCAATATAAAATATATTTTAGATATACAGTATATCTATATTAGTGGACTATCCCCAGTTGAATCTCTAAGTGGACTAACCCTATAGCAACCCCAAAATGGATGGAGTGGAACATCTGGAAATATGAAGTAAATATCATCTATAAGTTACACCTGGAAACACACTTTTAGGCATCTTGCTGGGGGTTGCAGTTTAGCATGTGGGCTTTGTTCACCACAAGGTGCCCCCGAGTTTTAAGTCAGTATCTCCGGTAGCTTTAGATAAATATATCTACCATGAAGCAGAGTTATTGGAGTGAACTAGGCCAACTTAGCTACAGAAGTGCTTGGAGGAGTACAGTATCCCACAGATCGTATCTGGTTAGTAACCATAGTTATAGGTAAGTTACAAGCCATTTATAAACGAGATAACCCCACAAAATGAAGACTTACCACTTACTAAGTGGGATGATGCTCTGGCATTGATCATGGTTATCCCCCACCCCGCAGTCCATCCTAACCATAGCAGCTGAGGACCACTCGCGGCCCTGCCACGGCGGCGGACACGGTGGAGAAAGTGTCGGAGGTGGTGAAAGCAGCCGCAGCGGCAGGACGGGATGGGGAGTGAAATGGTGAGGCTATAGAACTGGGGAAATCATTGGGTTGGCTTTCACCTTCGGCATTTTGCAGCTAGTCTTTACTTTCAGTTTTATTCTAGTCGAACTTTTTGATTGAGACCACTGTTACATGGAACATCTTCTCACTTGAGTCATTCATATGGGTCTAAATTTACCCAGCTTTGCAAGCCAAGAGCAGGTTCCAGGGTTCCGTTCCGATTTTTGGGGCCGACAACAAAAACCGCGCACCCACTCCAGACCCAGAGATTGTCACTGCTGTTGGGAATTAGATGCCCGAAAAAGTGGGTGGTTACAATTCAACATGAACAGAATGTGCGATCCCCTAGGCCTTATAATTGTATGTATATAATGTGTATACGGACATGTGTATGTGTGTGCAGACGAAGATATGTAGATACAGATTTACCATGATTTGCCAGGGCCAAAGTGGGGATCATTGGGTTGTATGAAGGGCCACTTGAGAGGAAACCCGTAATGATTTCTGTTTTCACCATTAACACATCGGATTTTCCGTATGTTTCCTGTGAATCTGCCCTTCATCAAATTCTGTACTATGGACTGTGTAAACCACAGGGTGAGTGGTAGGTTCCCCAGCAAACAAGGAGTTTTTACGCCAACAAATGGGTGGATTACCATGCAAAACTTTGGAACTGCTTGGATAAAGCTAGGGCAAGTAGTAGGTTAATCTTCAATTTTTCACATGTTGGGTGTAGGCACCCAGACATGGAATTTAAAGGGACCCGCAGTGATGGGAGATGGAAGTTAGACCAGTGCTTCAAGAGTCATTGTGAGACATTGCGGCATATAAATCAAATACATCACATAGTTAATTATATAATTCGTGTAAAAAATCTCATATACATCAGATAAATCTTATAGAATGGGCTAGCGCCCAGGTGCCGCCGACCCCCCTTTATTTGGGGGGGACTGTGGAGAGAGAGAGAGAGAGAGAGAGAGAGAGGGAGGGAGAGAGAGAGAGAGAGAGAGAGAGGAGAGGGAGAGATGGATGGATGGATAGATGGATGGGGATGGATGGATGGATGGATGGACGGATGGACGGATGGATGGATGGATGGATGGATGGATGGATAGACAGACAGACAGACAGGTAGACATGTGAATAGATGATAGATTGATGGATAGATAGAGGGATAGAGAGAGAGAGAGAGATAGATTGATAGATAGGTAGATAGACAGTTTGATAAACAGGTGGATAGATATTGTTGGACAGATGTATAGATAGAGGGACACAGAGAGAGAGAGAGAGAGAAAGAGAGAGAGAGAGATAGATGACAGATAGGTAGATAGACAGTTGGATAAACAGATGGATAGATCGATTGTTGGATAGATAGATAGTGGCATAGGAAGAAAGACGGATGGATTGATATATACTTTGAGTGTCAAGGACCCTCCGTTTTTAGGACTGTCATTGTAACCTCATGTTTTTTCCTGCCTGCTGCTGGCTGCTGGTGCTGGCTGCTGCCTGCTGCTGCCTACTCCTGCTGCTGCAGAGGCTTTTGCTGCTGGTGCTGGCTGCTGCCTGCTGCTGCCTACTCCTGCTGCTGCAGAAGCTTTTGCTGCTGCTGCTGCTGGTCCCCGGATGGGAAAACACCATGGCAGTGAAGGACGGAGAAACCCCAAAATTGCACCCCGTAAATGCCTAGCGAAAACGCATAGAAAATGATGATTTTGGTTACTTTTTCCTCGCAGCTTTGAAAGCCCATAGAAAGCCATTGCTGTGGCCTGGCCCTGGGGTGCCTGTTGGGGAAGCTGTTTAAGGATAAAGGTTTGGAGGGTTTGGAAGAGGACAAGGTCCAACCTGCGGTGGTCTGGGGACGGTGTTTGGAGGGTTTGGCGGGTTTTGGAGGGTTTGGAGCGTTTGGAGAGTTTTGGAGGGTTTGCGGGCTGGCAAACGGCAGCTTTGAAAGCCTAAGAAAGCCATTGCTGTGGCCTGGCCCTGGGGTGCCTGTTGGGGAAGTTGCCTTGGCCCTAGGGTGCATGTTGGGGAAGGTGTTTGGAAGTTTGGAAGTTTGGATCCTTTGCAGGCTGGCAAACGGCAGCTTTGAGGCCCATAGAAAGTCATTGCTGTGGATCTGAGGTGCCTGCTGGGGACGGTGTTTGGAGGGTTTGGCAGGTTTTGGAGGGTTTGGAGCGTTTGGAGGGTTTGGAGCGTTTGGAGAGTTTTGGAGGGTTTGCGGGCTGGCAAACGGCAGCTTTGAAAGCCTAAGAAAGCCATTGCTGTGGCCTGGCCCTGGGGTGCCTGTTGGGGAAGTTGCCTTGGCCCTAGGGTGCATGTTGGGGAAGGTGTTTGGAATTTTGGAAGTTTGGATCCTTTGCAGGCTGGCAAACGCAGCTTTTGAGGCCCATAGAAAGTCATTGCTGTGGATCTGAGGTGCCTGCTGGGGACGGTGTTTGGAGGGTTTGGCGCGTTTGGAGCGTTTGGAGAGTTTTGGAGGGTTTGCGGGCTGGCAAACGGCAGCTTTGAAAGCCTAAGAAAGCCATTGCTGTGGCCTGGCCCTGGGGTGCCTGTTGGGGAAGTTGCCTTGGCCCTAGGGTGCATGTTGGGGAAGGTGTTTGGAATTTTGGAAGTTTGGATCCTTTGCAGGCTGGCAAACGGCAGCTTTGAGGCCCATAGAAAGTCATTGCTGTGGATCTGAGGTGCCTGCTGGGGACGGTGTTTGGAGGGTTTGGCAGGTTTTGGAGGGTTTGGAGCGTTTGGAGGGTTTGGAGGGTTTGGAGAGTTTTGGAGGGTTTGCGGGCTGGCAAACGGCAGCTTTGAAAGCCTAAGAAAGCCAGCTTTGAAAGCCCATAGAAAGCCATTGCTGTGGCCTGGCCCTGGGGTGCCTGTTGGGGAAGTGGCCTTGGCCCTAGGGTGCATGTTGGGGAAGGTGTTTGGAATTTTGGAAGTTTGGATCCTTTGCAGGCTGGCAAACTGCAGCTTTGAGGCCCATGGAAAGTCATTGCTGTGGCCCTGGCCCCCCAAACTGCAGCTTTGAGGCCCATAGAAAGTCATTGCTGTGGCCCTGGCCCCCTGTTAAGGCAGCTTTGAAAGCATCAAGAAAGTCATTGCTGTGGATCTGAGGTGCCTGCTGGGGACGGTGTTTGGAGGGTTTGGCGGGTTTAGGAGGGTTTGGAGCGTTTGGAGGGTTTGGAGGGTTTGGAGAGTTTTGGAGAGTTTTGGAGAGTTTTGGAGGGTTTGCGGGCTGGCAAACGGCAGCTTTGAAAGCCTAAGAAAGCCATTGCTGTGGCCTGGCCCTGGGGTGCCTGTTGGGGAAGTTGCCTTGGCCCTAGGATCCTTTGCAGGCTGGCAAACTGCAGCTTTGAGGCCCATAGAAAGTCATTGCTGTGGCCCTGGCCCCCTGTTAAGGCAGCTTTGAAAGCATCAAGAAAGTCATTTAGGAGGGTTTGGAGCGTTTGGAGCGTTTGGAGGGTTTGGAGAGTTTTGGAGAGTTTTGGAGGGTTTGCGGGCTGGCAAACGGCAGCTTTGAAAGCCTAAGAAAGCCATTGCTGTGGCCTGGCCCTGGGGTGCCTGTTGGGGAAGTGGCCTTGGCCCTAGGGTGCATGTTGGGGAATGTGTTTGGAATTTTGGAAGTTTGGATCCTTTGCAGGCTGGCAAACTGCAGCTTTGAGGCCCATAGAAAGTCATTGCTGTGGCCCATGAGACCTGGGGGGTTGGAATTTTGGAGGCGTTTGGAGCCTTTGCGGGCTGGCAAACGGCAGCTTTGAAAGCTCATAGAAAGTCATTGCTGTGGCCCTGGCCCTGGGGTGCCTGTTGGGGAAGCTGCTTAAGGGGAAAGGTTTGGAGGGTTTGGAAGAGGACAAGGTCCACACCTGCGGTGGATCTGAGGTGCCTGCTGGGGACGGTGTTTGGAGGGTTTGGCGGGTTTTGGAGGGTTTGGAGAGTTTTGGAGGGTTTGCGGGCTGGCAAACGGCAGCTTTGAAAGCCTAAGAAAGCCATTGCTGTGGCCTGGCCCTGGGGTGCTTGTTGGGGAAGTGGCCTTGGCCTTGGGGTGCCTGTTGGGGAAGGTGTTTGGAATTTTGTTTTGGAAAGTTTGGAGCCTTTGCGGGCTAGCAAACGGCAGCTTTGAAATTCATAAAAAGTCTCATTGCTGTGGCCCTGGCCCTGGGGTTTGGAATTTTGGAGGCGTTTGGAGCCTTTGCGGGCTGGCAAACGGCAGCTTTGAAAGCTCATAGAAAGTCATTGCTGTGGCCCTGGCCCTGGGGTGCCTGTTGGGGAAGCTGCTTAAGGGTAAAGGGGTGCCTGTTGGGGAAGGTGTTTGGAATTTTGTTTTGGAAAGTTTGGAGCCTTTGCGGGCTAGCAAACGGCAGCTTTGAAATTCATAAAAAGTCTCATTGCTGTGGCCTTGGCCCTGGGGGTTTGGAATTTTGGAGGCGTTTGGAGCCTTTGCGGGCTGGCAAACGGCAGCTTTGAAAGCTCATAGAAAGTCATTGCTGTGGCCCTGGCCCTGGGGTGCCTGTTGGGGAAGCTGCTTAAGGGTAAAGGTTTGGAGGGTTTGGAAGAGGACAAGGTCCACACCTGCGGTGGATCTGAGGTGCCTGCTGGGGACGGTGTTTGGAGGGTTTGGCGGGTTTTGGAGGTTTGGAGGGTTTGGAGGGTTTGGAGGGTTTGGAGAGTTTTGGAGGGTTTGCGGGCTGGCAAACGGCAGCTTTGAAAGCCTAAGAAAGCCATTGCTGTGGCCTGGCCCTGGGGTGCCTGTTGGGGAAGTGGCCTTGGCCTTGGGGTGCCTGTTGGGGAAGGTGTTTGGAATTTTGTTTTGGAAAGTTTGGAGCCTTTGCGGGCTAGCAAACGGCAGCTTTGAAATTCATAAAAAGTCTCATTGCTGTGGCCCTGGCCCTGGGGGTTTGGAATTTTGGAGGCGTTTGGAGCCGTTGCGGGCTGGCAAACGGCAGCTTTGAAAGCTCATAGAAAGTCATTGCTGTGGCCCTGGCCCTGGGGTGCCTGTTGATCCTGTTGGGGAAGCTGCTTAAGGGTAAAGGTTTGGAGGGTTTGGAAGAGGACAAGGTCCACACCTGCGGTGGATCTGAGGTGCCTGCTGGGGACGGTGTTTGGAGGGTTTGGCGGGTTTGGAGGGTTTGGAGGGTTTGGAGAGTTTTGGAGGGTTTGCGGGCTGGCAAACGGCAGCTTTGAAAGCCTAAGAAAGCCATTGCCGTGGCCTGGCCCTGGGGTGCCTGTTGGGGAAGTGGCCTTGGCCCTGGGGTGCCTGTTGGGGAAGGTGTTTGGAATTTTGTTTTGGAAAGTTTGGAGCCTTTGCGGGCTAGCAAACGGCAGCTTTGAAATTCATAAAAAGTCTCATTGCTGTGGCCCTGGCCCTGGGGTTTGGAATTTTGGAGGCGTTTGGAGCCTTTGCGGGCTGGCAAATGGCAGCTTTGAAAGCTCATAGAAAGTCATTGCTGTGGCCCTGGCCCTGGGGTGCCTGTTGGGGAAGCTGCTTAAGGGTAAAGGTTTGGAGGGTTTGGAAGAGGACAAGGTCCACACCTGCGGTGGTCCCAGGCGCCGCCCCGGCCTTGGCGAAGGCCGGGGTCGGCGGATATTATTATATTATTATATTGTTATATTACTATATTGTTATATAATATTATTATATTATTATATTATTATATTATTGTATTATTGTATTATTATATTATTATATTATTATATTATTACTGTGATTTCAGGTCAGGTACAACTATGCCTTGATGTGATGTTTCCACCTCCTGTCAGCTTGTGGTGACATAACCATTTGCACCGCTGGGTACCTTTGTGGTTCAGGCGATTCGAGGAGGGTAGGGCTGTGGATCTAGGTCGTTGGACGGCCATGGAGCCTTGAGTGTGTCCAAAAGGGGCGCTGCGTGATTTGGTGGTGCAGGGCATCCACTTACCTTATTTCATTTGGCAGGGCCATTTCAACATTTGGATTCATTTGGAACTGACAGGGTCAGCTTTTCTGTTTTGGTGAATTCCTCCGCTACCAGCTGTGTCATTCACACTGGTAGCGGAGCCTCGAGCTCCAGCTACTTTAGCCTAGCTGTAAGAGTGGACGATCCAGGAGGTCGGCAATCCCTTCAGTTTTGACATTGGCACCATGCCTCCTGCCGCAAGTGGAGACGGTAGCCTTCCGCCTGTGCCGGACGATGAGCCGACACCGAGCCCAGTTCAATTACCTTGGAGTCAAATTCCACAATTTGTTCCTGGTGTGACGAATGTCCAAGAGTATTCTCAGAAGCTTCAGTTTTTAGCATCCCTGTGGCCTGTGGAACACTTGGATCAGTTAGCACCTCGTGCAGCGCTTCTCATAGAAGGCACTGCGTCCCCCCGGCCAAGTTGAAGGTGAAAACAACAGATGGTGTGGCCACTTTGGTCGAAGCCATTGGAGGGTCTTGGGGTTCCACCGAGTTGGAAGAACGTTAAAATCTCTGTATGGAACAACTCAGAGGAATGATGAAAGCCATGATTCTTTCCTTGCCCGCCTCGCCTGGAGGCCAACTTCACTGAACTTTTGTCGCGCAATACGACATTGGAGGAGGTGCAAGCATATGTTCTGCTCAGGCAGTCAACTCTCAGTGCAGAAGACAAAAAAAGAATTCTCCTTGAACATGAGGGTGAACTCAAATATAAGCCAGTGGTGAAATCATTTCGTTTGCTGGGCAGTCGCTTTTTCAATGAGTTTCAGACCGGAAGAACCAGTCAGCGAACCAAAGTGTATGATGCCAATTTCTGGATACTTCGGAATCTCATGATGCAGCTTCTTCACATGATTCTGGAACCTATGAAAGAGCGTGTCTTACCCATGCTAGTTCTGATGATGCAGAACCAGAGCTGGATCAAGAGTTCATTGATGCCTTGGTGGCCCAGGACGATGCAGATGCCATGACCGTGGCCACCTTCGAAGGCGAGTTCGAGGAGTTCTTGCAGGACACCCCGGAGATGTTTGAGGCCTTGACCACATACATCGAGGCGCGATCAAAGTTGATTGAAAAGAAGAAATCAAGGGGATTCCGGGATTCTGGCCTGTAAAGGGGAAGAATAAACATGGCAAAGGCAAAGGTAAGGGGTTTGGAAAAAGATCCAAAGACCGTGATGCATTGCTTCAGAAGATTGCTCGTAGCCACTGCCGCCGCTGCGGTGCCCTTGGGCATTGGAAAGCGGAATGCCCGTTAGCCAGTGGTGCCGAGAAATCTAGTGGCCAACCTTCGACAGCATCTGCCAATGTGGTGACGGATGAACGTCCTCAGGAAGTTTTTGCCACTGCTGATGATGTCGATGAGGTGTTTTCGGAAGAGGATGATGAAGCATATGTGATGCCCTCCGTTGAAACCAGTTTGCAGTTCAAGTCATGTCATGCCGAATGTTTCATGTTGACCCATGAGTGCAAGAGCCTAGCAATCAACAATCTGAGCCAACGCATGTCCAGTTTCAATTCCAAGAGGGTTCAAGGTTTTTCTAAGAAGTCCCAACACACATGTGCTCCGGCAGAATCCAAGAGATTTCAAGCGCCGCCTAGGAAATGCCCTGATGAATTCTCATCAGACCAAGCTCCTGTGGCCAGCCGATCATGCCGTTTTTCTGAGACTTTTGCATCCGAGCAGGTGTACAGTAGCTTAGAAACCTTTTGCACTCATGCGATCTTAGATACTGGAGCAAGCCGTTATATCATAGGAGACCGCACTTTGAACAGACTGCAACAATCTCTCCCAGCAGAGATTAGTGACCGCTTTCGCAAGCAAGACAGCCAGGTGAAGTTTCGTTTTGGAAACAATCAGCCACTGCCAGCATGTATGCCATTCAGATGCCATTAAAGCACAAAGAACAGAAGAAACTGTGGCTGTCCGTAGAAGTGGTTCCCGGAGCCACCCCATTTCTTTTTTCCAAGAAAGCTTTCAAGATGCTGCATGGCTCGCTGGACTCTCGAACAGAACAATGTTTCAAGCGGAAAGTGCAAGACGGTCCCATCAAGCTCGTGACCAGTCCAACAGGTTTGTATCTCATCAACATGATCGACATTTGTGTCCGAAGTGAAACTGCAATGTTCCAAGAGGTCGCCAGTGACATTCCTGTCAAACCAGTTCCGGAAATACCTAATGTGGATAAATTAGGTTATGAAAGCCATAAAAATAGCATAATGGGTAAGACTGAAGGGGTTTTACAGTCTCAAAAGCCAAACAAATGTAGACCCAGGTTCCTGCGAAACAGAAGTTTTCGCTCAAGTGACTCACAGCCTGACCTGAATCGTGCTTCCGAGCCCTGTGATTCTCATGCCGCCAATGGTCAGCATGCTCAAGACGATTGCCGAGGCCATCATTCACCTGCTGACCTTGCTTCTCCAGATCTTTGTGCATCAGTTGGAGAAACAAGAAGTGATCACCGAGACGGAGATCGAAACCGATCCCCAGATCCATGGACAACTGCAAGAGATGATGAATCAGATCAACATGCAGAAGACGGCATTGGAGAATCTCAAGGACGAGCTCATGGTCCAAAAGAAGCCCAACGAACGCAAGAGTCGTGGACCCATCATGGGAGCAGGCACAGGTGCTTCCGCCGGAAGTTCAACAGTGCTGATGTCCCTGCCTCAGACCACGATGACCCACTGTCGGGGAAAAGCTCCCTGGGTCGTATCTCATGCGGCCAGCTGGGAAGAGATCGAGGAGATCGAGGAGGTGATGATTCAACAAAACATCCAGATGACCCCAGTGAACGAGCCCAACAATCGTGGTGCTCCACCAGTTCCCACGATGCCACTTCCAGGAAACCTGACTCTGGAAGAATGGGGGAGCCATGTGATCTCCTTTGGGCGAAAGCACAAGGGGAAGTCCTTCGAGACGGTCATGCGTCAGGACCCCGGGTACTTCCACTGGAGCCTAGCTCGGTACTCGAGCCTGATGCCGGAGCAACAAGACTTCGTTCGATTTGGACAACTCTGGATGACGAGGGGCGCTATGATTTCATCACCTGAGGCTCAGCAGTTCCGCGCAGAAGTTCTAGCAGCTCAAAAGGATCTTCAGACCAATGCAACTGTCAAGAACCACAGTCCGATTTCCCATCAAATTGAACAATCCATCTATCAATTGGAAGATTCATTGATCAATGATCAATCATGTACAACCCAGTAACGACAACCCTAGAACTTTCCTTTTGGAAATCTATGCCAACAAGAACAGCCCACTTACTGAAGCAGTTCAAAGACTTAGTTACAAAGCTGTGCGTTTTACCAAAGGAGATGGGGATTTGGCCACGTTCTCCGGTCGCCAGAAATTATGGGGTCTGATTGAAAAGCTGCAGCCAGAGCATATGTGGATGGCACCTGAATGCGGACCATGGAGTGGCTGGAATCGTCTCAACATGGGTAAGGGCTCATTCATGTTTGATTTGATTTCTCAGAAACAAGAATTGCAAATGCCACATGTCCACTTGTGTAGAAGAATTTGTGAATATCAAGTCCGCATGGGACGCCATTTCCATTTAGAGCAGCCGGCAGGTTCCAGCTTGATCCAATTGGATGCTTTTGCTTTTGTCCGACAGCATACTGTGGCAGCCCGTTTTGATATGTGCCGTTTTGGTTTGCGCATCCCAAAGACCAATCGATTTCTCAAGAAAAAGAGCCAAGTTCTCACAACGTCCCGACAGTTGTTTCATGAATTGAATGGTATTTTGTGTGCAAATCAACACCCTCACCAACGTATTGAGGGCAGTGTCAGCATCGACAGCAAGAGACAGAGACTGACCAGTTTCTGTGCGACATACTGTCAGGGTTTTGCCAAGATGGTGGCTGGAAAACTTTGCAAGCTTCAACATACCATGATAGGCGCTGATGAACATGCCATGGTTTTTGATGATGAAAATGAAGAAAGACCCAAGAAACACTTCAGAATGACTGGAAGTGAACCCAGGAAGAGAAAATTCAGTTCGACCGATCTCAAATCTACTGTTGCCGATGACAAACCAGACGCCTTGCCAGTTGGAGAACGTGAGACTTCCGACCACCCACAAAGGGATCCGAATCCCGATGTTTCTAGGCCAGAAGTTCCTCCGACAGCATGTTCATCGTCCGAAAGTTGGCAAGCTGTGTTTGAGGAAGCTCAGACCTTTGCACCACGAGTAGGCAACACCCGATGTCCTGCAATTCAACCGCATGGAGCCGGGCTCCAGCCATATTGGAAACCTCCATGAACATCACAGACATGTTTGTATGCAGGGGTACGGAACGTTTTCAGGTACCACTTCAAGCTCCCGCATCCCATCAGTTCCCTCTGCGATATACAGTATGTTTGCACCGTGAGACATCAGCCATTCATGATCTTGGTTTAGAAAATTGGCATGAAAGCACCCGAGCTCAACGCATCCGAAAGTGTGTTCCATGCAAGCTAATCATAACCATGTTTGGATGTTCTCCGGAGATTGAATCTGCTCCTGCAAGAGAAGTAGTCGATGATGCTGAAAAGCCATTGGTTCTATCAGAACCGCCCACAGCAGTTCGAGCGTCCGGTAGTCAAGGGTTGCCAGTTGCAGTTCGTGAGCATACCAGTAACATTCCATGTTAAGGTTGGGCACCACCTCCGATACCACTATATACATGGACCAAAGTTCAGATTGTTGAACGCCCAGGAAAAACAAGATCTAGTTGAATTGCACAAGAATCTGGGTCATCCAGATCCGTTAAGATTAGCCCACCATCTCAAAGAAGCCGGAGCCCATGAACATGTAATTGAAGCCGCCAAGGAGTATGTTTGCGATGCATGCGTGGAAACCTCCAAATTCCGACATCAAAGACCAGCCAAACTTCATGATCCCAGGGAGTTCAATGAGTTGTTGGGGATCGACAGATTTTACTGGACGGGTCGGGGTGGATTTCAAGTCATGGTATTTCACTGCATTGATGAAGCCTCGCTCTTTCACCTAGGACGTAGGTTACAGAATCGTCATCTTGAATATGTGGTGCCTGTCTTCAAGGAAATGTGGATGTCTTGGGCCGGCCACCAACCGGTGTTTATTCTGACCCTGCTGGGGAATTCCGTGCTGGACACTGGCTTGATTTTTTGCAACAGCAAAACATAGAGTCACGTTTGTCCACCGAAGCATGGCAGAAGGGACGCATAGAGAGACATGGTCAAATTGTCAAGAACATGTTGGATCGCTTTGATCAAGAGAAGAAAATTGAAGACGTTCAGGAGTTCGACCAAGTCCTTCAGTCTTGCTTCCAAGCCAAGAATGCTCTAGCTCGTCACCAAGGTTTCTCTCCAGAACAAATTCTGTCAGGAAAAGCCACGAAAGTGTCAGCCTCACTTACTTCGGATGAGCATGCTTCAGCCCATAGCCTAGCTGACGGTTCCGATCTAGAAAGTGAAATTTTCCGCAGAAACCTTGACATCCGTTCCAGAGCAAGACGCATGTTTGTGCTTGCCGATAATGACTCAGCGATCCGCAGAGCTTTACTTCGCAAGTCACAACCGCACCCAGGAAACTATGAAATAGGTGAGGTAGTACTCTATTGGAAGAAGAAAAATGCCACAGGGAGAAACTGGACGCTGGCATGGGCCTGCAAGGGTAGTTTGTCAAGATGGTTCCACTACAATCTGGGTGGCACACGGTGACCGATTGTTGCGATGTTCCCCTGAGAGTTTGCGCCCTGCGTCACTGAGAGAATGGCAGAACACGTCAGAGTCATTAGACCATCGTGTTCAAAGTCTCCAGAATTCTCAGGATGGACAAAAAGGTATTTTGGAAACTAGGCCTCATGTCAATAAAAGTTCAAATCAGGATGAGATGTACACGCCTGGTACTCCAATAGACAGTCCCGAAGTTCCCATCAGTAGCCAAGCTAGTATCCAGCCAGGAAGTGAACTGTTTCCGGAACCCATCACTTCCCAACTTAACCACACCTGTCATAAGTCCCCATCAAAGTATAACCGATAATCTTCCCTCAAATAACTTCCCTAACTTTGAATCCGAAAGTGCCATCGATCTAGATACACCCAATGAAGAGCCAGTTGATGCAGCCGAGACCGAGAATGTTCTGTCATGCCACGAAATCAGTGACTTCCTCCATGAGGATCCGATCCATGAATGGAATGTGTTCCAACCTGGCACTGAGTCTCATGATGTATGCCTGGCTGAGGACGGTTTACCTTTACTAGATGAACCCATGTGTCATCATGATCATCAGTGTTTCATGATGGAAGTTCCGATGTCTCGCCAGGATCTCATGCAGTGGTCTCAGTCTTCCCATCCGGAAGAACTAGCACAGGTGGCTTCGGCTGGGAAAAGAGCCCGAGCAGAAGTTCAGATCAAAGATCTGACCGCAGCCGAGCGAAAGCTTTTCGACACTGCCAAAGAAGCTGAACTATCATGTTGGCTTCAAACAAGTGCCCTGAAACCGATGCTCCGTAAGCACTTAAATCCGGATCAAATTCTCAAGTCCAGGTGGGTCCTGACATGGAAGAATGTATGCAATGATGATGAACAGACCAATGCAAGAAAAGCCAAAGAGAGACTAGTAGTTTTGGGTTATCAGGACCCCAGACTTACTGAGGTTAATCGTGATGCACCAACGTTAACTCGTTAACTCAGGAGGGCAGGCATACCATACTTCAGCTAATTGCATCGCAACAGTGGGTTCTCTCATCTTTTGACATCAAGACGAAAGGCGGATAGTGAAAATCCATTGGCAATGGAACCACCAAAAGAATTGCGAGAGCGAATGCAATTGCCTGATGATCAGGTATGTGCTTTGATTGGAAACGCGTACGGTAGGGTAGATGCACCTCTTCTATTTTACAAGGAGCTCTCCAGTCAACTGCAAGCTTTGGGTTTCAAAATGCATCCGTTAGAACCTTGTGTGTGCTATCTGGAATCTTGGAAGAATAGACAAAGAATTCTTGCATGGGGCTCTAGGTACTCATGTGGATGATGGCATATGTGGTGGTGACTCATGGTTTCATTCACGTTTAGAATTGCTTCGTCAGAAATTACCTTTCGGATCATATAAGCAAAGAAAATTCGTGTTTACTGGAATCCAACTTGAACAATTGCCAGACTTCAGTATCAGAGCAAACCAAGCAGAATATATCAAGGTGATCCCCCACCTAGAGATTGGCAAACACAGACGAAACCTGTTGCAAGAACCTATTTCCGAAAAAGAGATGTCCAACTTGAGAGGCCTTATTGGCAGTTTGCAATACGCCACCACCAACACCAGACCTGATGTAGCTGCAAAACTTGGAGAAATTCAAGTCCAGTTGTCAAGACCCACGGTCTCGACACTGATGGAAGCCAATAAAGTTCTGCGCGAGGCCCAGCAAACATGTGACGTGGGATTGTGTTTCAGATCCATTTCTCCTCAAAAACTCACACATGTTGTGTTCGGAGACGCGTCCTTTGCCAGTCCAAAACAGTTAGCATCTTTTCAAGGAACCTTAGTATTTGCCACAACACCTGATCTCCAAGACAATAAGAGGGCTCCCATTAGTCCTTTGTCATGGTCATCCAATAAAATCTCCAGGGTTGTAAGATCAACATTGTCAGCTGAAGCTTTCTCCATGTCACGTAGTGTAGACAAGATGGGATGGTGCCGCTTGCTGTGGGGCACACTAATCATTCCTGAGTTCCAATGGAGAAGCCCGCCTGATGCATTTCGTCAGATGCATGCTGCAGTAGTTGTTGCAGATTTCAAGTCCCTGTATGACCTGGTGAGCCGCAGAGCGATGCCGTCATGCGAAGAGTATCGCACAACATTAGAAGTCCTTCTCATTAAGGAAAGGTGCATGGAACATTCTTTCTTCAAATGGATACCAACTTCACTGCAACTGGCCGATCCTTTGACTAAGAATATGGACTCATCGCTTCTTCGTGCGGTACTGGAACAAGGGGCCTTTCAACTGTTTGATGAGGCAGCCAGCCTTCAAACAAATGCACACAGGAAACAGGCGCTGCAATGGTTGAAGGAATCACATCAAAAATAAAGTTTTGGGAGTGTGATTTCAGGTACAACTATGCCTTGATGTGATGTTTCCACCTCCTGTCAGCTTGTGGTGACATAACCATTTGCACCGCTGAGTACCTTTGTGGTTCAGGCGATTCGAGGAGGGTAGGGCTGTGGATCTAGGTCGTTGGACGGCCATGGAGCCTTGAGTGTGTCCAAAAGGGGCGCTGCGTGATTTGGTGGTGCAGGGCATCCACTTACCTTATTTCATTTGGCAGGGCCATTTCAACATTTGGATTAATTTGGAACTGACAGGGTCAGCTTTTCTGTTTTGGTGAATTCCTCCGCTACCAGCTGTGTCATTCACAATTATATTATTATATTATTATATTATTGTATTATTCTGTTATTATATTATTAAATTATTATATTATTATATTATTAAATTATTATATTATTATGTTATTATGTTATTATGTTATTATCTTATTATCTTATTATCTTATTATTTTATTATCTTATTATCTTATTATCTTATTATCTTATGCTATTATTCTATTATTCCATTATTCTATTATTCCATTATTCCATTATTCTATTATTTTATTATTCTATTACTCTATTACTCTATTATTCCATTATTCCATTATTCCATTATTCTATTGTGTTATTATTCTATTATTCTATTATTCTATTATTATATTATTATATTATTATATTATTATATTATTATATTGTCATATTGTTATATTGTTATATTGTTATATTGTTATATTGTCATATTGTCATGTTGTCATATTGTCATATTGTCATAGTGTCATATTGTCATATTATTATATTGTCAGATTATTATATTATTATATTATTATATTATTATATTTTATATTATTATATTATTATATTATTATATTAGTATATTGTCATATTATTATATTATTATATTATTATATTATTATATTATTATATTATTATATTATTATATTA